TTATTTTTTAGAATTTAATTATAATATTTATTAAAAATTAAAAAAATAAATATAAATGACAAAAAATAAATAAATAAATAAAACTTTGCGCGACGTAGGTAGGCACTACGTCGCTCAAAGTAGCTTTGCGCGACGTAGATCCCTGCGTCGCGCAAAGTTTCTTTGCGCGACGTAGTGCCTACCTACGTCGCGCAAAGCTGCTTTGAGCGACGTAGTGCCTACCTACGTCGCGCAAAGCTGCTTTGCGCGACGTAGATCCCTGCGTCGCGCAAAGCTACTTTGCGCGACGCAGGTAGGCACCTACGTCGCGCAAACCCTTCCTTCACTGCCTTCGCGCGACGGTTCTTGCGCGACGAAGGTTCGTTTGGCTAATTTTTGGGCGACGTATTTTTGACTTTGCGCGACGACGGTCCTACGTCGCGCAAAGTATTTTTTGTACTAGTGCCCATATATGACGTATGACAGTGATTAAGGATCCCCTAGAAGATAAAACTTATATCAAAACTAATGATGTTCCAGATTGGTTTTTTTATCTTTTTTTTTTTGTACATTTTAGTAGGCAGTGGAAGATCGATGGATTTGCTAAATTCAGGAAATTAAAACACATCGTTTGTCCACTCTTGCCAAAGAAATAAAAAAGAAATAGATTTGATGAATACGAAGGACTACCTGAGCAACCTTAGTGTCATACTCTTGCTTGCCCACATATACTATTCGATCGGCAAGAATTCAATAAAACGAACTCAAATCTAATTGTTAAAGAAGAAATAGAACAAAAATATGTCTAATAAACAAGGAAAATGAAACCCTAAAGCACAACTCTATACATTGTTGGTGGAAAAATGATCAAAGGATAATTGTTGTTTATTGAAATGTATATACCTCTGGTAGATCATCAATTAAATAATAAGTCCAACTCTCTCCAGTCTTTTAAGATCACCATCTTCTTCTTCTTGGCCTGCAGATATAGCCTCGTAAACCAAAACCATTCCCTCTATATATTGAACCGAAAATCAAATAAGAAATAAGATATGGTGGCCAGATTCTGACACACAGAAACTGAGGAGTGTTTACTGCAATTCATTAGAATAAGTGAACGGCGGTCTTGAAAAACTATTGGCTTCAATACATTCTATAAGGTGTGTTATCCACAAACGCCTTTTTACTTCTCACACACCCTTGTTAATTTATGTCATTTGATATTTTTTAATTCATTTGATCCGATGGTCGCAAATAAAGGTGTGGAAAGTAAAAAAAGGTGTGTGAATATTGCATCCCTTTTTGTATTAGGGTTTGATGGGTCAGTCTTATCTAGGGGTGAATTTGATGAAGCGCCCCTCTCAATTTTTTGGGTTTAAATAATACACTTAGTTTTGAGTAGTTTGTCAAAACTACCTTCAAATATCTATTTTTTATTCATTTTTCGTGAAACAGACGAGTTCAACAAAAGCTAAACAACATCAACATATCTCCAGTGCAACTCTATCACTCGATCCTCATCCAAGATAGCCACCAAGGAAAAAACGTGTATGAATTTAGTGAGACAACACCTTTTTAGATAATTTAAAGAGTCATTTTTCCTTAAAATAATAAAAGGCCAATTAACCTCCCTCCGCCTACTCGTCTTATAAATATGATCTCTTGGCCCTATTTATGATTTTACTCTTTGTTTGACCTATTACAATATGGACCAAAAGACACAATTAAAGAGCACTAAAGAGTGAGGATATTATGTACGCTAAGCACACAATGGTATGGGTCAGTGAAGTGCTGACAAAATGCATCATCAAAAACATGGGAGAAAGGTTTTGGCATTGTGTGCCTTGTTGTTGGGATGCAACGAGAATAGTCATGCATCCCCAGTGAGCTAACTTTCTAGCTTCGCCCTTGGTCTTATTGTTTATATTCTTCATGTTCAGTTTGGCACGTGTGTTTGGTTCCTCTGCCTGTATTTAGCTATTCACCAGGTTAATTCCACGTTATCTTTTTTTTTCTTTTTTGGGGGGGGGGGGGGGGGGGAATTAGCTAAATAGAAGGATTTCTAACTTTGGTTGTTGAAATAGAAAGAAAGACATGAAAGACATGAACAACATATAGTATTGAAAGATTGAAATTGTGAAGTACCCTATGTACATAAGCTTATAGATAAAACTTAGATATATACCATAGATATAGTATTAGGCTATTAGCATGTAGTATATATATTGTTTATATGATATCTATAATGTATGTAAACCATGTCTATATTCACAATGTTGTCGATATGGTAATAGATAGTTATTGATATGTTGGATATCTCATATATACTCAAAGAACCGTAGAATGGGAGAATAATTTCCGTAGTATATTCAACAACTAGGGTTACATCTTTATACAATGCCTCTCAAAATATGAACCTAAACTATTGCCTACAAACAAGGCTAATCAAAGACTCCCATTCCATGCTTTCTGATGATGGTTTCATAGCATCCTTGTAGTTAACACTTCCTAAGATTTCCTTCGACATGGATCCTAAGAGCCACGTCTTAACCAGATTGTTGCATCAATTCCATTGCTGCAATTCTTCAAGTTTATCTTCACTTGGCTTCTTGACCGTTCCATCAACAAGCCCTAGTTTGTTTTTGACCATTAAGGCCATGGCTATGGAATGAACCCATGTGTAATTATCTTCCACCAGCAGCTGCGTCACAAGCATTGTACAAAGTTGGCCCGAATGGTGGCGATACAGTAGGTGATCAAGGCTTTCCCACTTCAGATCATGCCTAACAAGGTTGACTTGTTGTCTACATTGTCACCCATGGCTACGTTTGCTAGGGTTTGTATTTGTGTTTTTATTTTCCCAGACCAATTACTCTGGTACCATCATAAGTAGCGTAGAATGGGAGAATATGATTTCCGTAGGATATATTCATCAACTAGGGTTACATCTTTATACAATGATCTCTCACAATATGATCCTAAACTATTGCCTACAAACAAGGCTAATCAAAGACTAAACAAGGAAGTAAAAAACTAAATATCAATTTACAATAGTGACTAATTAATTTGAAATATTTAGTTATTTACTTCATTATTTAGTCTCTGATTTGCCTTGTTTTTAGGCAATAGTTTAAAATCATATTGTGAAAGTCATTGTATAAAGATGTAAATCTAGTTGATGAAATACTACGGAAATTATTCTCCCATTCTACGCTTCTTATGATGGTAACAAAGTGATTGATCTGGGAAAATTGAAAAGCAAAATACAAACATAAATACAAACGCTAGCAAACCCAACCATGTGTGACAACGTAGACAAAAATTCAACCTCTTCATGCATGACTTCACATCTAAAGTGGGAATGCCCTAATCACCGATTCTATCTCCACCATTCGGACCAACATAGTGCAATGTTGTGCCGCAACCGCTGGTGGAGGACAATAACAGTACATGGGTTCAATCCATGAGCATGGCCTTAATGTTCAAAAACAAACTAGGGCTTGTTGATGGAACAGTCAAGAAGCCAAGTGAAAATAAACCTGAAGAATTGCAGCAATGGAATCGATGCAACAATCTGGTTAAGACATGGCTCTTAGGATCCATGTCGAAGGAAATCTCAGGGAGTGTCATCAATTGCAAGGATGCTCTGATACCATCATAAGAAGCGTAGAATGGGAGAATAATTTCCGTAGTATATTTATCAACTAGGGTTACATCTTTATACAATGACTCTCACAATATGATCCTAAACTATTGCCTAAGAGACTAAACAAGGAAGTAAATAACTAAATATGATCAATTTACAATATTGATTAATTAATTTGAGATTTTGTTCTAAAAAAATTTAATTTAGATATCTTCTTTAACATATACTTTCACGATATTGGTCACTCGCCACCACATGTTGCTATTACCATAACCTAAAATTTGCTCGCTGTCGCAAGCTGGAGCATCCACAAAGAACGAACTCAGATCGATTGATAATTGAACTCAGAACGAGTTAGAATGACTTTTAATTGGTGAGAGAGGAAAAGTCGCACAAAGATCTCCCTACCATGATTTCTCGCTTTCTTCTTTTTCTTGAAATTATGTAGAATTAATTCCAAACACCACCGAATGGCCATCAACCAATATTATTTTACAAAAGAGGAATAATTTGCAATTGTAAAATTGATAGGTTAGTTATATATATGCCTAACTGGATCATTTGAAAAACCATAAGAGAGACTGGGAGAGAATTTGTGGGTAGTAGGGGTTGCGAGAGACCTAGATAGAGAAGAGAGATCGAGATCGATCGAGAAAGAGAGGAAACTCAGGACAGTTTGAAAGAAAAACAAATACAACTGTTTTTTCACAAAACACATTTTACTAGACACTCTAAAGTTTGCCTTCACTGCCAATATATTAGAGCAGCATCTCAACAATCATACATCCACGATACAAGCTGGCCTTCACGGCCAATATATTAGAGCAGCATATCTCCACCAGAAAAGGCGAAGCTAAATAACTTCGCTTTGTCATTACTGACAGTTTGTGCGGTTAATTGTACGTAGCAAATGAATTTGAAAAGAAAGTATTGTCTTGTGCTTCACTCTCACACGTCAGAGTGGTAGTTCAGCTTTTACCACGTATTCTCAAACTTTTGATTTCCTTACATTACCATCTGTTTGGTTACGAAGAAAATTTCCAAGTAAACAATAGATGAATAGAGAATTTAAGTCTGAGATTTTTATTTTGTTGCTTCTTTTTCCTCATTGAATAAAGGTTTCTTGCACAAGTGTTCCAGTATTGAATATTTACTTAGATATGTTTGTTTCCCTTGAAATAAAGTTTTCTTGGCAGTGGAATTAGATATCTGTGACAGCACGGAAATTATCATTCGGGGAGATTACGGTTAAATGCAAAATCGTTGGCATTCATTTTTGAATTTGAGATATGAAATCAAAATATCAAATGCTAAAATTTTGGAGCATTCATTCTTTACAATAGAATCTAAGTGACAATATATATGTAGAGCTACATAAAGAGTTTACATTTTCAATTTTAACTGAAATGTACATACTAATGTCTAACTTAAGTATCGTGGTACAAATGGGTTTGCCAAAGCGTCAAGGAGTTAGTGATAGGATAAGTGATAAACAAAATGACCACCACCATTTTGTCTGTAAGTTTTCGCTGAAATTAGGCAACTCAGTGAAAAAGGTTTTATCTTACCTCCCTGTACTTGAAGATTTGGATATACAGGGAAGTCTTGATAAAGGCAACGTCTGCACCAGAAATGAGGACGTTAGTAATGTTGATGACAAACTTAAATTTTTATTACTGCTCTGAAACTCGTAACCATATAGAACACATAACAGTGATAAGGAATCCCTAGCACACAACAAGTTCACATCAAAACTTTGTCAGATCTGTTTTCTTTTTTTTGAGAAATTTGGCAGATCGATTCATTTACAAAATTTAAAAAACTGAAACACATTACTCGTTCCACTCATGGATAACAAATAAAAAGAAGGGAATTTTAACGAAAAGCTTCTGGTACTGTTTACTTCAACGAAAAATCACATTTTTACATTAAAAAGTCAATCATGAGACTATTCACTTTACCCTTTATTTTGTCTTTATCGTTAAAACTCAAAGTTTTCAAGCCATTTTCATTAATTTTCATTAAAAAGAAATTATCTTTAATAAATAAGAAGGATTAAAAGCTGGCCAAAAAATCAAAAGTTGGCTTGTTTATCAGGTTTCAATTTACTCACCAGGTCTTGAACATAATAAACTGAATTAAAAGCTGGCTTGTTTAAGATGGAAAAAACCTAGGTAGGGAGCTTTTCAGGTATAAGAAAACAATTTTCTTAAGAAAACAATTTTTGGGCCAGAGATCATAGCCATTGGCTATCACTCAGGGTAGAAAAACAATGAATTGGGATCATTCTTTTGGAAAGCTGTGATATCGGACACAATAACAAATTTATAAACCGAAATTGCTCATAGGTTTTTTGGAACATGTCAAAACCTTCCAGATCCGTTTTTTTTTTTTCTTTCTTTTCAGTAAATTTGGCAGCGATGGAAGATCGATCAATTTACCATGTAACAAACCAAAACACAACGGTCGTTGTCTCGCCAATGCCAAACAAAAACAAATAAAAAATAAAATAGATCGTTATATGAAGGGTTAATTACTTGAGCAGCCTTTTCTTTTCAGCGTTTCCTCGTACCTGGTGGTCACTCGAATGGCACAAGTTCTACAAAACAAAATCAAATATAATGGTTAAAGACGAAATAGAACGGCAATATATCTAATAACCAGGAAAATGAAACCTGAATCACAGATCTATGTTGTTGCTGGAAAATAGATCAAAAGGTAATTCATGTGTATATACCTCTGGTAAATCATGAATGCGATAATAGGTCAAATTCTTCGGTCTTTTAGCATCATCTTTCTCCTCATCCTGGCCTTCACACAAAGTCCCGTAAACCAAAACCATTCCCTCCATATATTGAACCGAAATTCTAATAATTAGAAATAAGAGAAAGAGAAAGGTGGGCAGATTCGTACACACATCAACTGAGGAGTGTTTGCCTCAGTTTTATAGAATAAGCGGACGGCGGTTTTGAAAAACTATTGGCTTCAATACCTCTGTCTGGTATTAGGGTTTGGTGGCTTAATCTTATCTGCTGCCTCAGCAACGTTAATTCACCAGGTTCCGTTTGGCACGTGTGTTTGGTTGATCCGCGTGATTTAAGCTATTATATCAATTTCACGTATTTGTTTAAGAAAAGAGAGGAGCATTTTCTGTTTTTGTTTAATTTTGATTTTTAAAAACAAGTTTTGTAAATTTAAAATTTTAATTATTTAGTGTAAGTTACGTAATTTTAACTTTTTATGAAAGAGCATTGTTGTTTAGTCGAAAATAATAGAGTTCAGTTCAAATATACGAAGGGAGAACTTGTTGATAAAAAGAGCATTGTTGTTTTGTCGAAAATAATACTGTTTGGTTCAAACATATGAAGGGGGATGTTTTTGACACTCTAAAAATGTCATAGTGCATTTCTTCTTAATGATAACAAAAGGGAACAAATATACATGTGAAAAGATGTGTGATGACTTTTTTAATGTGCCAATAACAATTCTCTTAATAAATAAATGGAGATGGATACCGGCCGATGACTTCGAGAAGGAGCAAGATCAGCTTCTAGTTATGGTACGTGAATGTTTTAGGGTTTAGGGAAAATATATAGATCGGTTTTGTATTACCATTCTATTTGAATTAACAAAAACAATCCTTCTATAAATGGATGACCAAACATTCATGATTTCAATGTGAGTGAATCGAATTTCGAAATCTAACTTTAATGTCCTAGGGTTTAGGAAAAATAGACTGGTTTTGTATCAACATTCTATTTAAATTACCAAAAACAATCCTTCCTTAACACGGATGACCAAACATTCATGATCCCAATACGAGTGAATCAAAATTCGAAATCTAACTTTAATATCCTTCCATAGGTACCAATTAATCGGCAAAGAAAGTTCTCTTTAATTTTTTGGTGATTTTTTCTGTAATTGTTTGGGCCCAAAATAGCATTTCGGACTGAACCCAAAATTGTTTTCAATCCAATAAGAAATATCGGGAATATTCTTTACCATGGGCCGAGCCTAGTAAAGTTCGGCTGAGTCCTATCAGGAAATGGTTCTATATGGATAAGGGTGAAGTGGTCGAATCCTAGTACAATAAGGATTCTTTAGAAGCTAAAGATGCTTTGAATCCTATGGGGGTTAGGATTGGTCATGACCTGATTAGATTGGGCTAAGGAATTCTAGTTCGAGTTAAATTCTAACTTGATCATTAGGGAAATTGCTACTATAAATAGAGAAGGGAGTGCATCATTCAAAACCCCCTCCAAATCAACACACAATTGTCCTACGCAAACAACCTTTCAAGGACCTTGAGATTTTTATTTTCCTTTTTCTCGCTAACACATCTTCAGTTTGGATAAACAACATTGTGGAGGCAACCGGCAACATCTTCTGTTTGGATAAACAACACTAGAGCTGTAGAATCAGTTGATCGAGGAACACCTTCAGTTTGGATAAACAACACTACTTCAAGACCGATTGGCTACCTATCCAAGTCTCGCCAGCAAGGATTTTCAAGTCCTTATTGGAAGAGGCCATCTCATTAGCCTTCTTGGCGAAGTAAGGTGTTACCAGATTACTACATTCGGCACACTGAAAGCCGAATTAATATTGAACTTCGCAGAACTAGCAGCCTTGTCTTTAGGCTCTATAACCCAAAGGTCGAGGCGTGTTCCTTCCTCGGCTGCAGTAGTGAAATCAAGAAATCAGCAGCACGCCCAACGGCACATCAACATTCATTTACTCTCCGATCAAGCTCGGCAGACGAGTTGGTACACCCTGCATTCAACCGAGTGATGTAGTTAGCTCATTAGTTACTCAGCCTAGAGCCTACATAGGCTAAGTAGTTTTTAGGGTCAGCATTTTGGCACGCCCACTGGGACTCAGTGCTAAAGCTAAGAAGTTCATGACCATTGAAACAAGGTCAATCAAGAAGAAAACAACTATAGGTAAATCGACTACTAGTTTAGCACCTATAGTTCGAAGTCCAGTCCAAGGCAATGTGTCGCAAGCATATGATATCCCTGTTGCCATAACACATGAAACCATAAGCACAATCCCTTGAGAAATAGACATTAATCTTGGCGGACAGAACCATGATGCTGTGGTCTTCACCCAAACCACCAAGGTGGCAAAATATGGTTTTATTGAAGGCTTGGTAGATGATTATGACAACGAAGACGATGAGACCTCTGGTGCACCGTCTAAATCTTTCTTTCAATGATGGTTGCAAGAATAATCTCAGCAATTTGAGCAAGTTTTTAGCTGAAAGGTGAAAAGCCTACATGACAAGGTGCTTAAGAGCAACTCGGTGACTAATAAGTTGCTTGAAATTCTAGTTAACAAAGCTCATGAGAATGGGCCCATCGATCAGCCCAGACATAATCTCTTTTTAAAGAAGAATACTCCCTTAGGAGGGGAAAGGCCGCCGCTAGTGAAAGCCGAGATAGAACTCAATCAAACTAGGGCAATCGATCTCGAAAGACCATACGATGAGCCAAGCACTAGTTCAGGCCGAATTTGGTCGAACAACAGAAACGACATTTATTGATATGGGTGAAGTCTCGAAAATGATCGATTCGGCTTTGAAAAAAGGTCAAAATTCTCAAAGTTTATCCATCCATATCCGGCCTTTGTCGAAAGGTTTGAGTATCCCCGAGGTTTCAAGATTCTAAATTTTAGTCTCTTCACTGGGGAATCATCCCTGTCTTCATTGGAACATGTGGCTAGATTCACTGCCCAATATGGAGATGACAATAGCTATTTCCACAAACTACGATTGTTTTATTTCTCGTTAACGAGCACGACGTTTGCGTGGTACATCAACCTTCAACTGAATTCTATATAGAATTGGGAATAAATGGTCAAAAAATTTCATGAGCAATTCTATTGACCTAGAATAGAAGTGTCGACTTCTTGTTTGGCTAGAGTGGCCTAGTCGTTCGATGAGTCACCAATGGAATTTCTTACCAGGTTTAAATCAGCCAGGAATTGGTGTAAGGTACCCCTCCATAAAGTCAAATTTGTTAGGCTCTCCCAAAATGGTCTGGATATGGAATACAAGAAGAAATTTTTGGAAGCAAATTTTCGAGATTTGTATGAGTTGGCACAACATGTCGAGCAATATGTTTATTTGCTCAGAGAAGAAAAAATCTCGAAAACTCTAACTCGTGGTACAATTTACAAGAATCCAATGGTGAGCTACATATTAGCTGTGAGTGACGAATCCCAATATGTCAGTATTGACACGGCTGAGATAGTAATTGACAAACCTTATGTATGCAAAGCATTGGCTTACGCTAGTTCCAAAACGTCAAAACACGCTCGGCCTCTGTTGAAACAGCTGTCAAGACATCAAAGGTATACACTTTCGACATCACCAAGACCAGTTACAACTTGCAAAGATTATCAAGCTTCGGCTAGGGCATGACATTTCTAAAGCCAAAGACTTAAAGGGGAAAACATATTGCAAGTACCATAATTCGAACAAGCACACGACAAATAATTGCGTCATATTCCGTGATGCCATTCAAAGCTAGATTGACAATGGCAAATTGAAGTTCCCAGAGAAGACACAAATGCTGGTTGATGCTGATCTTTTCCTTTGTCAAAGGTAAACATGGTAGATGCCCATCTGCCAAAAGATAAGAAAAAAAAGGAAAAGTTGAGTTCATTCCAACGTACCACATCCCAAAACAGAACTCTCAACCACGATTGAAGATTGATTTCTCATCCCAAAATGAACCGCCTAGTTTATTCTCCAATCCAGTCTATGCCAAGCCAATGTCTGACACTCCAGTTCAGATAAATCTGAAAGCCAAACGATCTTACGTAGTAGATGATAATTTGAAGTTGATATAGTTAAGCCAAAACTGAAGAAACCTTTGGCTGAATTGCCACAACCCGCACCTATAGTTTCGGCAAAGTCTCAATCAATGCTCGGTTCGAGTCAACGCCAACAAAGGGTTTTCGATAGACTCGGCCCTCAACAACAACTACAAACCGCCTTCAGTTAAACGGCGACTTGACTTCAATAGGCCATTTTATGATGAGGATTACTATGTACACAACTGTGGAAGTTTAAGTTTATCTATGGCCCATCGAACTTTCTAACCTCATGAGCCATGAAACCACCGTTGGTATAGTTACAATTCCCTTACCGACGCATATACCGTTATATCCAAGTCTTAAAAACGTCGTCGACAAAGAATAGACTCCATGGCCCGTTAACGAACTGCTCATAAAGTGTCAGTCACAAAATGACAGCCTAAAGAGACGGCAAAAAAAAGGATGACTAACAAACTCCGGTGATCATGACTGAGTTGCTTTAAGGGAAGAAGGTAATTAATTGCAACTTTAAAATTGAGATTGAAGAATCTAAGAAAAAAAATCGACTTTACCCTGGAGAAATGAAAGCTCACATATAATATTTTGGAAAAGAGGCCGAAAGAAAATTCCCTCCATTGCCGCCGTAGGAACCATTGATCAAGGTTAAGCAGAATCGACACCCACCATTTTTAGATGAGGCTCTGGAGTACATATGAGAATTTCATAAGAAATATTCAGCCAACGATCTATACGACCTCCCAACTACATGTCAAGAGTCATTGATTTAGCCTTAACAGGCCCGACGCCGAACAAATCATCTAGAAATTGTCAAATTTGGGAATGAATGCTAGATTCAAACACATTCGCAAAACCAATGTTCTCGGCTTCAACGTAGACCTATACACTGATCTGGATCCTGCACACCTCCCAATTTCTTTAGATGACCTGCAGTATTTGTGATATCATTTTGAGGTTTTCTCAGTCGTTTTACTATTTGGCATCACGGCCCAAGAAAATGAATGTGTTACGAGATTAGATGCCTAACTAGACACACGAGATGCTTGCATCTCATGTCAAGAGTGGAATCATAAGGCTCTACAAACACAGGATTAAGTCCCAGCGCTATTGGAACTAGTTGCTGAAGTTGAAGCTAAAATAACCACGCCA